CCAAAGGGGGAGAAAAAAGCAATAATCAATTTTTAAATTGGATTATTTTTGAACTTGTAGGYTTATGTCTTTTGTCAATTTGGAAAGTTTTTAGCTGTTATTTATTAAAACAGTTTTTAAGCACCACCCTCTTTGTCTTTCTAGCTTGGATTCTGATGGCACATATAATAGATCTTTTATTGTGGTTCCAGAGGTTCCTAAAGCTCTTTGGGCTTCTTCCCATTCTGTTTTCTCTCTGTAGCTCAGCATGTCTAATTGCTATCTTTCAGTTTTCTTGTTCACTGATTCTTCCCTCTGTCACTTACATTCTGCTATTGAGCTCATCCATTGAGGGTTTTTCCCCTATTTGGTTGTTTTATTTTTTTAATTCTAAAGTTTGTATTTGGTTATTTATGTGTTCTGATTTCTCTGGTGAGATTTTTTTTTTCTCGAGTGATGTTCACTATTTTTTTTTTCATTTGCTTCAGGCATGTTTCTAATTGGTAGTGGTTGAAGCATCTTTATAATAATAGCTGCTTTAAAATCTTTGTTAAGTAATTCTTACATTTCTGCCATGTCACTGTTATCATTGGTTAATTGTCTTCTTTTATTCAGTTTGAGATTTTTCCCTGTTCTTGGTATAAATCTTTGTATAGACTCTGGATTTTTTTCAGTGTCATAAATATTTGTATATTAAGCAGATTTATTAAACATAATTCACTTAAGTGAACAATTTGGTGGCTTATAGTACAAACACAGATATGTGTAATCATCACCTTAGTCAATTTTATAACATTTAACATTTTTATAACCTCAAAAAGAGACTTCCTATTTTTTAACTATCACCCTATTATCCCCCATACCTCCAGGCCTAAGCAACTACAATAGCTTTCTCTCTTTATGGATATTTCATATAAATGAAGTCAAAAYATGTGGACTTTTGAGACTGATTTCTTTAATTTTGAATGATGTTTTTAAGGTTCATCAACTTGTAACAAGTTTCAAAACTTCTTTTTTTGGGCCAAATAATTGTCCATTATATACATAGACCACATTTTTGTTTATCCATTCATTAGTTGATGGGTATTTGGTTTATAATTTGGTGATGTTATGAATAATACTTCTAAATAGTTGTGTACAAATTTTTTKGGGCATAATTTTTATCTTGGTTACACATCTAGGAATGAAATTTCTGGATCAATGGTAGCTCTCTATGTTTAATTATTTGAAGAACCATCAGGCCATTTTCTAAAGTTCTATACCATTTTGCTTTCTTACCTTCAGTGTACAGAGCTCCAATTTATCCATGTCTTCATTAATACTTGCTATTATCTGGAGTTTTGATTATAGCCATCTTATTTAGTTGGTTAGCTCATTGATCTCCTTGTGGGTATTGTTTACATTTCACATGCTTGTTACCGGGCAAGATTACATTAAAACACATCACATGCTTGTTACCCATTTGGATGTCTTTCTCAGAAAACTTCAGTTTTTTTGTCCATTTTAAAATAGGGTTAGTCTTCACTTTTATTATTGATATCTAAGAGTTCTTTATATAATGTTGAAGCAAATCCCTTATCAGATGTTTGATTTATAAGTAAGTCATGCATCATATAATAACAGGGATTCATTCTGAGAAATCCATCATTAGGCAATTTTATTGTTGTATGAACACCAGAGTATACTTACACAAACCTATATTGTATAGGGTCAAGCAYTCTATGTATGAAGACACTGCTGGCCTAATGGCATACTTCATAGTAAATTAATTTTTTATAAGTAGAAGAAATATACATAAAATAATAATAAAAGTATAGTTTGGTAAATTCATAAACCAGTACCCGTTGTTCATTATCATCACAAAGTATAATATCTGGTACATAATTATATGTGCTATACTTTTATATTACTTAATATGACTGTCAGARCAGTAGGCTTGTTTATACCAGCATCAACATAAACACATAAATAATGCATGCATCACATTGTGACATATGATGGCTATGATGTCAYTAGATGATAAGAAGTTTTCAGTTGACCCAAACATCATTATTTAGGGACATGATTATGGTTTTTTTCATTCTTTGATTTTTTTTTTATTATGTGGATGATAGTATCTTTTAAAGCAAAAAAGTTTTTAGTTTGGGTGAAGTTCAATTTAGTGTGTGTGTGTGTGTGTGTGTGTGTGTATGTGTGTTGCTTGTGCTTTTGGTGTCAAAACTAAATCTTATAAAACAGATCATGAAGAATTATTCATGAATTTTCTTATAAGAGTTTTATAGTTTTGCTCTTTCATTTGGATCTTTGTTTCATTTTGAGTTAACTTTTGTATATCATAAAGAGGGAATTTCTTTCTTTCTTTTTTTTTTTGGCATGTGGCTATCTAGTTTTCCAGCATTGTTTGTTAAAGAGATTGTTCCTTCTTTGTTGAATTGTTTGGATATCCTTGTAAAAACAAATATCCACCAACCATAGACATGTGGTTTACATGTCTATCTGTATGCCAGTGCCATTGCTTAAGTAAATTTTGAAACTAAAAAGTATGAGTGAACATAACTCTTCTTTGTGAAGATTGTCTTGACTATTTGGGGGTCCTTTGTAATTCCGTACAATGTGATTGGTTTTTTGATTTCTAGAAATAAAAGATCTCTGAAATTTGATAGGAATTGATTTAATTCTGTAGATTGCTTTAAAAAGTATTGACATTTTAACACTATTTATCTTCTTACTCATGAGCATGAGATCTCTTTCCATTCTTTTAGGGCTTATACAATTTCTTTCAGCAATGTTTTGTAATTTCCAATGTACAGTTGTTTAACCAGCCTGGCTATATTTATTACCAGGTATTTTATCCTTTTGGATATGATTGTAAATGAAATTGATTTCTTAATTTTCTTTTTGGATATTTTCCATTGGCAGTATATAGGAACAAAACTGATTTATGCAGTTTGACTTTRTATATTGCAACTTTAATTCATTTATTAGTTCTAGTCATTCTTTTAGATTATTTAGGATTTTTTACATATAGGGTCATGTCATCTGTGAACAGAGATTACTTCCACTTTCCAATTTGAATGTCCTTCATTTCTTTTTCCTGCCTAATTTTCCTGTTTAGAACTTTCAGCATAATGCTAACTAGAAGTAGTAGGAGTGGATTTCCTTCTCTTTTTCCTGATGCTAGGGGAAAAGCATCCAGTCTTTCACCATTAAATATGATGTTATCTGTGGGGTTTGGTAAATGCTATTTATAAGGCTGAGAAAATTCCCCTTTTTTCCTAATTGGATGGCTTTTTTGGGGGGGGGTCTCTAAAGGGTTTTAGATTTTGTCAAATATTTTTATACATCTATTTATATACCTATTTTATATATTTATTAAAATAATAATGAATTTTTATTCTAATGATGTGGGGCATTACATTATTTTCAGATGTTAAACCATCCTTATTGCCGTATTAGTATTAAATTCTATGTGGTCATGTTATATCATTATCTTTATATGTTGCTGCAATCAGTTTGCTAGTGTTTTGTCAGTGATTTTTGCATTCATATTTATAAARAATACTGGTCTGTAGTTTTCTTCTCTTATGATGGCTTTGCCTGGTTTTTGTATCAGGGTCTTGTAAAATGTCTTGAAGTGTCCTTTATAAAAAAATCTTTGGTTTCTATTTTGTCCTTGAATTTTTAAAAATCTGTTATTAATATAGTCTCTTCAGTTTACTTGTGGCTACTGTTTTTTTGTGACACATCTTTTTCACTTCTCATTTTGCTTTGTTTGTATCTTTCAATCCAAAATCTCCTGTAGACCAGTATTTTTTATAACTATTCACTTAAGTCTTGTTTACATTTTGTCCAATCTGACAAAGTTGGATTGGGTGGTTTAAGTTATTTCTAAGTGTTTGGCATTCTGGAATATCAAACAAATAGATAATAATTTTCAACTTTCAAAAATTATTTATTGTTAACTTATAAAATATAGTTAGTTTTTTTAAAAATTCAGATATCTTGCTAAATTTTTCCTAATTGTAGCAGTTATTATTGGATTTCTAAATTTTTGTTTGTGCATAATATTAATTGTAATTTTATTTTTATTTATTTTTTTCAAACCATATACAATTTACTTCCTTTCTCTATGTTACCTATAGGTTTTTGTGTTTTTAATATATTCCATACTTTTATCTCACAGTTTAGCAAAGTTATTTTGTGAAGTTCATWAATTCTTTGTTCAGTTGTGATCATTCTTTTAAATCCATATCTAGAGTTTTTAATTTCCATTAATTCATTTTACAGAAAAAAATTTTTATTTTTTAATTTTTCATTGATTGCACATCTCCTGCAAAACTCACCATATTGCATTTTTGGAGCATATTACTTGCTTTATTTTAAGGCCCACATCTGATAAYTCTTATACCCACATACATGTGTGTATGTTTTATTGTATTTTTCTGTTGGTCCTTTTTAATGGGCACATCTAGAACTTTATGTTTAACTGCTGAACATTTTCTATGAAAGTTCTGTTTTAGAGACTCTAGGTGATGTTATCTTCTCCAGAGAGGACTCTCTTTCTGGCACGTGGTTGGAATAGAGGCAGGCAGGTCACTGCACTGCCATCAGGGATTGGGCTAATTGGTTGTGGGTTTCAGTCTTGTGAAGCCTGGTAAATTTCTAGTCTTCCTTTATCCTATCGTGTAGCCCATCAGAAATCCTACCTTAAAGTCTTTATCCCTTGGATTTCTCCAGGCTGAGACTGCTAGGGCTTTACATATCTTATCAGTCTCTCAGCCTTACACTTCTTGTGTATCAGCAGCTGCCTAAAAGAGGAACATCACCRGAGGCTGAGACAGGAGGACCTTAATTTCCAAACCCTAAGCAACTCAGTTGAGACTTTCTCTAAATAAAATTTGAAAGGGGGCTGAAGATGTGGCTCAATGGATAAGTGTCTCTGAGTTCAATTCCTAGTACCAAAACAAAAACCTAAATTCATAGGTGTCATTAAGCTATGGCTTGTTTTCTCTTTTCTCCAGGATTTTGTTTCATGTATAGAGAACTACAGAAGAAAAGGACAGGAGCTATATGCATCTTTATACAAAGACCATGTACAGGTAAAAACCAGAACATATCTTTTCTCTACAGAGTGCACTTCAATCTACCTTGAATCTAAAAAAAAAAAAAAGAATTAAAAGGGGGCTTTTAGTTTTAGATTGTATAAGACAATAATTGGTCATCAGTGATTCATTCTACTTACACGACCCATGTAAGATCTAAAGTCAGCAACTAAGGAGACTCATCTACTCATTTATGCACTCAATAAATAGGTTTTGGGAACCCAGGTGCCTCAGAATCTACTGGGAACTAGGAGCACATTACAAAGATTTCAGGCCCAGGCCTCCCTCACCCTCAGACAGATTCATGGTAAAGGAGAAATATACCCTGAATAACTTCACAAATAGATTATCATAACTTATGGTGGGTACTTGGCAGGGAAAGCAGAGGTACAATAACAAGGAAGGAATCTAATTTGGGCAACTCAAAGGTCTTGTCCAAGAAAGTGACCATTTAAACTGAGATCTGAAGATCTGAAGAAGAAGGAATATTGCCGGAAGAGTGGTTTGGGCTAAGGAGAGAGCATGGGTGAAGGTCCTGAGGCAGGAAGGAGCTGGATGCCATTGATTAACTAGAAGTAGCTGGGAGGACCAGGGTTAAGCAGAGATGATGAAGGACTAGGGCCATGTTAGGGATTTTGTTTTTTTTTTCCCAGGTGCAATGGGTTGCTGCTGATAAGGGCAGGTTTGGGTATTTTAAGCACCTATCTAGGTATGACTTTTGTGTTGACAAGGCATGCTCTTGAAGACTGTCCTCAGGATCAGCAAGCATGACTGGTTTCTCCAGCTGCACAAGTTGTTGATATTTCAGACTCAGTTTGGATTAGAAGTTTGCTATGAGCACCTACCTTACTCTAGTATTGCTATCTGCACCCTGTATAGATGGTAGGGGGTCTTGCTGGCTTCATGGGTGCTAACTGTACCTGGACAGACCCTTATGCATTCATGTGTCATCATATGGACTCACTGATTTTGTCTAAGGTGAGCAATGTGACTAATCAAATCAGTTTCCATTGAGGGGAAAAAAAAGAATTGCTTAGAATTTCATCCTTTGTTGGGGACATTCTTATGATACTTGCACTGTTTCTAGGCAGAGGATGTTGTATATCTAAACTTCCAAATCAGCATCTTGTCAGGAGCATGACCATTTCTGTTGGGAGAGCCTAGAAGATTTGGGTGTGGTGAGGAGAAAGGTATTCAGTGATATTTTGTGTGTTTCTGCTGAATTTGCAAAATTGCAGATTCATGTAGGGAGGATGGAACCGCAGTAGAGGTTCTAATCCCAGAAGGGAGGAATCCACCCTCCTGGAATGATGGCCTGGCTCATTTTCATTAGTGGAGCCTGACTGGGGTTTGGAAAGTACTTGAAAAATTTGTATAGTTTTACTGTTGATTAAGTATTTTTGAGAAAAATCAGYGTTTTAGAGTTAATCCATGAGGATGCATTCCAAGTGTTTAAATATTTAAAACATTGTTTTGATGTTTAAAAGAATGCAGATAWAATCACTGTCTGCTGGAGATAATGGGGTCTGGAGCAATCACCCCACTTTTGTAAGGGGCAGAACACTTTCCACCACAGACCTCACTCYACTTCCAGAAAAATCAAGAGTCAAATTCTGAACAGAAATCAGTCTTGTGAAATCTGCTCCATTTATTCAGGGATGCTTCTCCCAAGTGCACCCAAATAGATACTCCCCACAAGGTTAGTGACAATGAGGTTCAGGGACCCTTGCCCACGGGGCTGTCAATAAATGGCCATGTAAAACTTCTATGTCCTGGCACTTTACCTTCCTCTGAGAGGTCACTGGACATGGCGGAAACCCACAGCTTGATAAGGTGGCTTTGCTCATTGCCCTGGAAATTAACCCCAGCATCGTTATATTAGCAGCAAATAGCACATTCCTGGTAATTGATATGCCACATTTCTGCTCACTCCAGAAACACTGGCAGGAATAGTTCCCTCTACACTGATTTCCCTTGCCCAAGGAATGTGCCATTCATCCACTTCTCTGTGGTCCATCTACACTATCTTGTTCTTTGTCAGGGCTTCCTCACAATTCCCAGGAACGCCTCATCCTGCTATTGCCATCTAAAACTTTACATATTGAAGCTCTTGGTGAGATGCCAGCCACCTCGAAAAGTGGCCTTTCTCTTAGTATGTAGGGGGCTGTTCTGCTTGTTCTCATAAGGGCTCTCTATGGGTCCAGGARCTCTTCTCATCTTGTTCAGTCTCTCTTCTCATTAAGTATTTGTCACAAATCCTTTAGATGCAAGGATCAGAAACTAGCTCTAACTGGCTTTGGGTTATTTAAAAAAACGTTTTTATTSGTGCATTATGGTTATATGTAATATTGGGTTTCCTTTTGACATAATCTTACATGTGTGGAAGCTAATTTGCTCCATTCAGTTCCCAGGATTTCCTCTTTCCCTTTCCTTCTCCCTCCCCCTGTTCTCCTTCCTCTCCTCKACGAGTGTTCCTCCTATTTATTAATAGTTTTTGAAAGTGATTCTTTATAGATACACATTAAGGTGGAAGTCACTGTTGTGTATTCATGTGTGTCACATAATTTGGTCAGTTTCATTCCACAATTTCTCCCTTTTCCCGTCCCTCCCGCTCCCCCTCTGGTCTCTCCCTCTGATCTCCCTTCTATTTTCATGGGGTCCCCCACCCCTTGCCTTTCTTCCCTCAGTTTGCTCTAGCTTTTACATATGAGAGAAATCATCTGATCCTTGATTTTTGAGAGTTTGAGAGTTTGCTTATTTCACTTAGCATGATGTTCTCCAGATCCATCCACTTAAAAACATTTTGGATTATTGAAGAATGCAATTGAAGAGTGGTCTTCAAACAGAGTTATCCAAATATCATGTATTCATTCTCTCTCTCTCTCTCTCTCTCTCCCTCCCTCCCTCCCTCCCTCCCTCTTCCCTTCTTTCCTTTCACACACATCACACATGTTCATGTAAACTCATACCCACACCCATATGTATGAGATTGCTGATGACTTTGAGGACACATGCACATGGATGAAGGTGCAAGTGATTCTGCTGTAAACTCATGCTCTGCTCACCAAGCCATAAATCCTGGAACAAGACCATTTTCTAATTTACACAAAGTCACTCTCATACCTAAGCTGCACTCCCATAGAGCTATACATGCCCAGGGCCCACTTCTCCTGATCCAYACAAAGGTGTTCTGTGTATATTTCAGGGTGTAGGGGGAACTGCATGTGTGTGTGCATTCACCCCTCTGCTTCCTCTGCCTTGGTTCCAGAAGGCACCATACCCAGTGCAGGGCATGATGCTCATTAGCCTATCCTACAACCCTTTACAGATTAGCCAGACTTGGGTGAAGCATTCAAACCTGAAGCCGGAGCTGGGTTCAGCCCCACCAGTGCAGCAGAGACTTAAAGTAGGAAAAGAATGGTTTCCCAAAGGCAAATCTAAGTGTTGTTACCCAAGTGTTTCTGTTCAGTCAAATATCATAGCCACCTCCTACATAATAGAATCACTGCCTGTGAGTCTCAGGAGTGGCATTTGGTACATTTGTGTTTTGAACTAAGAGAGAACCTTATACTGTGCAGAAACTTGGGCATTTCAGAGCACCTTTGCAGGTGTGGGAACCCAGGGCTTTTGCAATTTAGTAATCTAGCATCCTTTGTCCTGGGCTCACATGCAACTTGCTATCATGAACTTAGAAATCACTCATCTCTCAGCAATTTTCCCATTGCATACCTGGCTGCTAATGTGTGTCCCATGATGAAGATTCAGGCAGCTGTGCACCTCCAGTTTTGCAATGATGGAGTAGAGAGGAACAAGACCATTTGGGGTAGAGAGGGTGCTCTTGAAAGACTAATTTGAGTCTCAGACTGGATAACCCAATGATTTGGAATTGTTCATTCTCTACAAAGCTCAACATGTTACTCAAACACAGCAATAATGTCCCATCCAGGGAACTGCAATATTTTCTCCAAACAAGCATTCATTTCATATGATCAAATGTCTCTAAAATGCTCTGGATGGTTGTTATTTTCTGGGCCTCCTTGTTAACCCACCAGAATCCTTATATAAAATGCTGTGACTGTTTTGGATATGAATTTAGGCACTGTAGAGGAACAAAAATCTCATGTTGAAATGGGATTAGCTCATTTASAATAATAACACTGACTGCCTAAACTGGGTTAAGCACTACATTAAACTTGTGAAAATATTGTCTCATTTAATCCTTCCATAAGTCTGTAGTTTTATTATGTTAATATTATTAGCCATATTTGAGTGATGAGGAAGCTAAAGCTCCTTTAGCTGGCTAATAGTGGAAACATGATGACAAGCCAGGCTCACTGGACATCAAAGAACTTGTGCTGAGCACTATCCCCCCTGCCATGTTTCTATGGGAAAGCTTCTAGCAAGTTCTGAGAATGATTTACTCATTCGAAATGGCTGAGAGTTGCAAGGCCTACATCCTAAAGTCTGTCAATCACTGAAGTAGTGCTAGTAGAAATCATGAGTCCATTAAATGATGATCAGCCCTACAGCAAAGGGATCTAGCTCACAGGCTCATGGGAAGACTTTGGAATATGACRGACTGGGTAAAATCTGTTTGGCCACCTGTTGGATTTTGGAGACATCGCTTCTGTTCCAGAGTTAGTATCTGCATGGGAATGATAGAAAATTTATGCTCACAGTGTTTACTAGGTAAAGAATATGAAATCAAAAGGCCAGAGGTTCAACCTAAGGCATGATCACAAGTTGTTTTTCTATTTATGTTAAGTTTTTGAAACCTCCACTTCCTGTTATTAGCACTTTCTGTTTTCCGAAACATTTAAATTCAATAGGGCAAATACCATCAAGTGTTTGAATAATTACAAAAGTTCACTGTGAAGATAGTTAATTCTACTGTCCAAACTGTACAGTATGTTGCTTTGACRGATAATATATGAAACTCAATGTGGCCTGCAAAAGCAATGTAGGGTGTCGATTTATTTTTATCAAGACTTAAATTGTATTCTARTAGAAGGTGTTACAGTTAAAAACCACACAAACTGTGAAGATTTCACAGATATTAGATAAGATTATTTTTATTAAAAAGCTTTTGTTTCTGTGAACATTCTAGAATCCTTGAACATTCAAGAATCATATGATATTAGGAATCAAGAGGCTTTTAGATCTCAACCAGGCTAAGCCTCTCATGRTCATGCTCAAATAATCCAACTGTCAGCGGGGCTTTTAATTCCTACTCTACCTCCAGTCTGGGTGGACAGGAAGAAGTATTTTCAGCATCATTTTGGAAGGATAGAAGTTATGGATAGATAGAAAATTTCTGTCCATTCTGAAGGGTAGAGGCTGTGATGAAATCCTACACCTAATTTTTACAAAGCAGCTGACTAATCCACTCTGATAAGTAGCTTCAGGGACTTCAGGACCTGTTGCTTTCTGTCCAGGGCCAGCAGTCTAATGGTTCTGAGGGTGAATAGACAGTTTTCTCCTCCCTCTACTGGGATTGAATAATCTCAAAGCTGAGAAATGCTCAATGACAAAGTACTTGTGCTGCAGACAATGGCTACCACCTGGCTCTTTCCAGACATTAGTATTTTCCTTCTCCTGGTTTGGTCCTRGATCCAGAAAGAGCACTGCACAATCATGAGAGTGTTCAGAGCTACCTAGATGGTGCAACTCTTTCAAACATTTATAAGGAACTTGGTCAGTTCACCTTTGGAGGTTTGAGGCCATGCCTCTAAGGAAAATGTGTCCAGGGATGATGTCATATTTCTGCTTCCCAGAGGCGGAGATGTTGCAACATCAAGGCAGCCAATGCCTGGGCCAGGATCCGGGAGCAGCTTTTTGGGGAGCTGGGCCTGTGGGGCCAGATGGCAGAAACCACGTTCTGCTCCAGGTGGGAACTGGACTGGAGAGAAGGACCGGCTCGCATGAAGAAACGCATCAGACGCTTGTCTCCGTGGGAGGTCCGGAGCCCAGAAAAGTGCAAGGTAGGCATTGAGTATAGCGGGATGGTGATGTTTCCAGGTGGTAAACAGAAAGGGAAGCAGCTCCATAGCTTTCCTGTCTAATGTTCTCTTCAGGTAAGAGCGAGAATGTAAATGTAGAAGTGTTGCATAACTTATTCTTGATGTCATTTAGTAGAAGAAAATAAACACTAATCATCTCAGGTATATAGAAGCAATGCTATAATTATAACCAGAAAGGATAATCAAATGGATAAATGAGTGAGTGGATGGATGGCAGAGTGTTCATACCTGTGCCCTTGACCCTGTACCACACTATAGTCCACAGAAGTCCAGGGAAGTAATCTGGATACTACTGTCTGGAAAGAGCCAGGTGGTAACCATTGTCTGCAGCTCAAGTTCTTTGTCATTGAGCATTTAGAACCTGCACTGTTGTGCACATTATTTATTGCACTAGCAAATCCTGTAACAAATTTTACAGTGAAAATCTTTTGAACTCAGCGAATTCTGCAAACTCAAACCAGTGGCTCCCTTAACCACATGGTACTGAAGTTGCCTTGATTTTCCTGGCAGCAGAATCCAGGCAGTGCTCCAGGCAGTGCTCCAGGCAGTGCTCCCAGAGCACTCCAGGCAGTGCTCCCAGAATCCTGGGAGTTTGCTCTAATGAAGCTCATACCATCATCAAGCTCACTTTTGTTGTTGTTGTTTTGCCTTTTGAGGGCTGGCTAGACAGTTGGATTCATCTCATAGTGGTAGAAAGACCTGTTAATAACTTTTCATGTTCTAATTGAATAATCATAATTTAAAATATCCTAAAAGGCAGCCTTCCAAGCACTGGGATGCTGGATATTTTCTTCTACGTTCATCCCAAGATATGACATTGACTGTGTTCTCTGGTCTATAACCCCAGTATCTTTTATCCATACTAAAAACTCCTAAAGAGAAAATTACATTTCATTTATTCAATAGACAGTTGAGGTTGTTTTTTTTTAAATTGTTGTCAATACATGTCTGGAAGTGTGCAGTATTTTTTCCTCAATATATTTCTTAGGAATTGGAGGTAGGGAAAATAATTAGCTTGCTCATTGTGTGGATGACAGTGCCCAAGGTTGCTCTGAAACTGGTCACTCAGGCTGTCCAGCCCCAGATCCTCTCCCTGTCCCCTCTACAGAGGGGTCTGCACACAGACATATCCAGCATGCTATCTAACCTCATCTTGGCACCATCTTTGGTAATTACTGTAAATCCTATTTATTGGAAGGATGTGGGTTTTCTTCTCTTTGACTCAGGAATATTAATATTTACATGTTACTATGTCCTTTAGGATTTAGCATTTCCCTCCCCTTGAATCTGATTCTTAGTAATTAAGGAGGAGAGCATAAACCCAGCATACAGGACTTAATTTCTTTTTCTCTGGTCTCATTTCAGGAAGGCCAAGACAGAAAGGGTGATATTTCTCAAACCAATGCTGAAAAACAAGGTATTGAGTTAATTTTTTTTATATTTTTCCTTTTAATAATTAAATTAATTTTTAATCTAATATCTTGCTAAATATATTAGATTAACATTTTAGAGAATAAAATACTGCAGGGCTAGAATAGACAACGTTAAGATCTTTCACTATTGTGTTTCCAGGATAAAGAGGACCTTATTCTAGACCAGGACACTCTATTAGGGGAGGAAGTTTGTATTAAGTTTGGAAAAAAAAAAAAATATATATATATATATATATTTATATTTGCAGCGGGTCGGCGGTGGGAGTTGAGCTGTCCTCTCAATATCCTATATCTTGGAGATATTAAAAGTGTCCCCATATAATTCAAATACATGCTTAAAAAGTGACCAAAATTGGGCTGGGGATGTGGCTCAAGCGGTAGCGCGCTYGCCTGGCATGCGTGCGGCCCAGGTTCGATCCTCAGCACCACATACAAGCAAAGATGTTGTGTCTGCYGAAAACTAAAAAAAAATAAATATTAAAATTCTCTTTTTCTCTCTCTTAAAAAAAAAGTGGCCAAAATCACAGGAGGAAAAWAATAAGATGCCTCAGAATAAAAATGGCTGAGATAGATATTTAATACTTTTTACACTGAGCTCTCTGTTTATGAAAATGACAGATATAATAGTCATTATTATTTCCTTGATTTAAAGAAAATGCTTGGAATCATTTTTTATGTTAATGCTTCTTCTTTACTTGTGCAAGTCTCATGGAGAAATTTGGTTGAGTTTATTTGCTAAAAATGGAAGATTTATCTTCAAAGGTCATTTTGGCACAAACACATCTGAACACCTACACTGTACTTCATGAATTATATTTCAAAATTTCTGTTTTTCCCCAAAGACAGCCCTTTGGTTCTAACATTCCCAGTCTGTAAACTTCATTGCATCCTAGGCTACAACCAATGTCTATTCCTCAGCCCAKTGACAACCTCTTGGCACTAATCAGGCTTGATCATTTACTGCCTGAGTAGCAGGTTTTGCACTGAGCTTCCTGCTTACCAGTCTGCAGGAATACAATCCCAGAAGTGAAAATCTTGGGCTCTTATCCCGAGTTGTTTTGGGAGTCCCACTGTGACACAAGATATGTATGACATTGAAATACATATTTGTTTCTTTTTGCTGTACCCTAAGCTCCACAACTCCTACATCAGTGAAACAATCACTTGTTCTACCTCTCTGAGACGGGGACTAGAGAGAGTGCAGTGGAGGGAAACATGTGCTAGCTTTATGTGACCTATGGCCATGGGCTATTTCACCCTCTGCTTCCTAAAATGCAGAATACCTGGGCACCTGTGACTCTGGGTCTCTGTGGTATTTTCAGCATGGACCCTAGACTGGGAGCTCAGCCAAGAGAGGAGAAGGGTCTGTGGTTCTCCATCATACCTTTCCAGAATGTTCCTTATGGGAACATTCTCCCTGCATTAAGCAAAGTCTATGATGGCTGTCACTGTGAGCAGCAGACACTTGTTGCATTCATCCAGATGTGAGACTGCCAGGTGGTGGAGATCAAAGAGCTCAGCTTCTTGGCATAAAGAAAATGGCCCATGGCTTTGCAATCATGAGCAATGTGTCTGCTCTAGGGACATTCAGGACATGTGGGTGGAGGAAGAATGAGATCCAGTAATCTAGGTAGTTATATGCTTGGCATAGACTCAAATGTCTCTACCCTTGGAAAATAAATCTAGACAGGGACACAAATTTGTGCAGTACAGTATATTCCTGGTAGAGCAGGTATAAAAACCATCTGTATCTCTAAAAATCAGAAGATGGATTAGTTGAAATAGACACATTTTAGAATATTTCACCACCATTTAAGTTATTCCAGAAACTTTCAATGGAATGTGAAAATGCTTATGATATAATATTTTTTTTTGTTTTTCTTTTGGGCAGTGCTAGGGACCAAACACAGAGCCTTGCACATGTTAGACAGGTATTCCACCAGAGAGGCCCATTCCCAGTCCTCGTGTATAATCTTGAAAGAAAAAAAATAGTTAAGAAAAACTGAAATGTAAAATTATTATTTTCACACTAAAAATGGTATGTGTGTGCATGCATATGTGAATATGTACTGAAAATACATTGGAAATAAATCAACCAGTAAATTGGAAGCAAATCAATTGTAAACAGTGAGACCAGTCTAGAGATTGAGATCTGACTTTGATTCAGGGAGATTTGGTTCAGATTCTGCCTCTAGTTCTTAGTAGCCATATATTCTTGGAACAAAGTAACTAGCCTCCTTCATTTGTAAAGTGAGGATGAAGTAGTATCTACAACCTAGACATGATTAGACATACAAATGCCATCAGAAGCATTGGGCACCAAGAAAGATCTTCCTGAATGGGCACTATTATTAGGGCATGGATGCATGGCTGATATCTATTTTATTTCTCACCATCATGGCTTTTCCAATGAGAAGATATTGCTTCCATTATTAGAAAACATCAACAACACTCTTAAGATTGAACAGTTTTTTTTTTCCCAAGGTATTTCCTTCTTTTTATTTTTTTTTAATTTTTTTATTGGTTGTTCACAACATTACAAAGCTCTTGACATATCAAATTTCATACATTAGATTGAATGTGAGGTTTAGAAGCAAAGCCTGGATGAACCTGGAGAGCTGCTTTACTGGTTCGTGAGTGTGAATCTTGAAATGTTTCCCCTGTGTGGACTTGAATGTGGCAGAGGGGCCAGGTCTGGGTGCACTTGGGCCTTCGGGGCTGAATCAGCTTGAAGGTGTGTTGACCACACACAGGGTCAGGTGGGGGTATACCTTTTCAGAAGAAGTTGAAGGGTATACCCCAATGTTTACTGCTGCCCTGGAGCACAGTTCCTCCCAGGGAGGCAAGCACATGCTGCCTGCCCTCCCTTGTGATGTCAAATGGCTCATTTTAAGACCATGTGTCCCTTTATCCTGCTGCAGGTGAGCTGACTCCAAAGGAAGCCGAGAGCGAGCCTGTTGAGGTGGCGGTAGACTGCACCCAGCTGACATTCTTCCCTGCATTGCATGAAAGTTTGCACTCAGAAGATTTCTTAGAATTATGTCGGGAAAGACAAGTTATTTTACAAGAGCTTCTTGATCAAGAAAAGGTAATACTTGCTATCAGTTACTCTCAAAGACTAAAATAGTCAGGAGAGAACCAAGCTCTCTTCACTAACACAGGGAGCAAGGTTTTCTATCAAGATTTATTTGACTTGCTATCAAGACTGTCAACGAGGTAATTAATGAGTGATCGGAATGGGCTCCTAAATTTGTTGGCCCAGGCAAAGGGAGCAAGTGGAAGCCTGTATACTGTGTCAAAATGTTTAAAAGGTGTAACTCAACTATCAAACTGTTAATTGAAATCTGCTCTGACTTCCTACTCTGATCTTCATAAAAACCTGGAAGACCAGATTCAAGTCAAGAATAGTTCAGATCTTTTGCCCCCTGCCCAGAATATGACTATCTTGAGGGGTGCATCCCACACTTTGAAGGGCCCTGGGCTCATGTGTTTAGACGCCCCACCTCATGTGTCCAAGCTGTCCTTATACCACTTAAGCCCAAGGGTAAGCATATGTGTGGCATTGTGCAGTTTCCAAAAGATACTGAGCTGGAGTCTGCATAAGCCCAAGAGGCAGGCTAGGAAAGCTAGCAGGCAATCCAGGGAGCCTGGAGTAGGGCTAGGGTAGGCCAATCTCGTGGGGTGTAAGTATATTAATCAGGTATATTAATCAACTTTACTACAAAGAAATGCCAAAGACAAGACATTTATGATGAAGTAAAGAGTTTRTTTAGGCTCATGGCTCTAGCAGTTCAACACCAAGATCTGGCAACCCCATTGATCTGGACCTCTGTTGAGGGTACCACATCATGATGGGAGTGGTCTGCTGCTATAGGCTCGGGGACATATCTTGGGCTCACCAGATAATATAGGAAGACCTCCTTATTTTAAAGTCAACTGATTTGTAACCTAATTTCATATGAAAGCCCCTTCAGAGCAATACCCAGATTAGTGTATGGTGGGATAAGTCATAGTGAGACTTTTCAGGGATATCTTTGGAATGCTACCTGGTATGTGTGGTATCCCTGGGACCCACCTTCCAGACAGCCCAGTGCCCATATGTTTCCCAGGCCAGTCTGGGGTTCCAATTCTTACTGGGCCCTGGGGTTTCCAGTCAAGGCCCAGACTGAGTACCAGCCCTGACCTCTTGTAGCCGCAGATGCCTTTGACATTTGTTCTGTATATGAGAATCTGGACTTTACAGATTGTTCCTCCTAGTGACATTCCCCTCAGGGGTCTTGTTGAAAGGGACCAGGCTCTAGAGCTCCCAGGTGACTGAYTTTTCCCATCCCTGAGGCAGGACAGCATCACCTGGAGTAAGCTGTTCTCCCACCCTCCCCTGTCTTTCATTTAAGCTTCAGCCTTTCTGGGCCTCCCTGTCGCACAGCGGGAAGCTGTCAGGAATGCTAGTGGGAGGTTTGCTGTGGCAGCAGGGATCCCCAGGATAAGCAGACAGGCACTTGTGGAACTCAGTGGAGAGTGGGGGTAGCAAGCTGTCCAACTGCCACTTAGCCTAGTGTCCTTTCATCTGCTGGAAGGGGCTGGCCCAGGGGAGCCCAAATTAGTGTTGGCTTCTGGGAACTGAAACCAGACACTGGGCTGCTGCCTGGGTAAGGCCATTCTCACAGTCTGAATAGTTTGTTCTTTGCAAGAATTGTCTTGATTTGTTTCATTGGGTTGTGTTTGTTGTCTCTGGTTTCACGCTAAATTGTGGGCCTGATTTTCCTCGGACTCAGTGGAACCAAACCACCAGGCAGGTCTACTCTCTAGAAGCAGGTCAGGCATGCAGGTAGGCCAGGCTCCTCAGGGTGGTGATGCCCACCATGGAGGCAGAAACCTAAGAGTCATGCCTAGGAGGGCAGCTGGGCTCAGGGGAAAGGCCACAGACTGGAGTCAGAGCCTTGTTCTGCTTTTTGTTTGCTATTATTAGCAAAAATGTCAATAGGTGGATGTCACACACCCTTCATCTGTGTCTTTCTCATACACAGTCTTATCCTGCCACAGCTTGGTGAGGGAGGCTCATCATTTCCGTCATACAGATGGTTATTTGCTGGAGTTGCTGGCATTCCAGGCTGGCCTTGGAATCATATGGTCTCACACCTCTCTTACTCTCTGTTCACGTGGGTCCCCTCTCTCTATAATCTCCCACCTCACTTTGCTCGGTATGACACACAAATTCTCCACCACTTGATCCTTCAGCAAACTTCTCATGTCTGGCTCAGAGACATTGCTCCAGGCCTCATGTGACTTTTCTAGCTAAAGCTGGTGCATGCAGACCTCTAGGTGCCTCAGCAGCATAGCTTCTCTGTCTGGGACACAGAAGGCCACCTGCCCTCCTGAACATGGCTTATCCCTGGTCCTCCATGGCCTATCTGTGTTTTAACACGAATATTAGCCCTGGTTCACTATGACCTTAGCCCTGGTCCACCATGGCTTTTTGTCAAGACCAGGAACTACAGAATGAGGAAAGACAAATGGATGTACTGACCTTTGAACCACAAACATATTCAAGCAAATATACAGGAAGTTTACCCAAAGCTGTGTGTGTGTGTGTGTGTGTGTGTGTGTGTGGGTGGGTGTGCGCACAAAGAGCCTTTTACACTTCAAAAGCAGGTACCACAGGCCTGTGTTGAGATATTTTGTAGCAAGCATCTATTGTAAACTGAGAATTCTCCTAATTCCTCAATCTCCTTGAGACCTTTGGACCTTGTGCTTTTTTCTATATTTCTAACTGAAGAATGCYGTGGACAGAGTTGCAAAGTGTATCCAACCTCCCATGACAGAGTCCCAGCTCCTCTTTTCTCTGGCATCTCAGAAGTGCTTGCACTTGTGACGGGAGGCTCCAAGGGATAACCTCCTTCAAGTCAACCTGGTGGCCTATGTCTTCTGGCGGCCTCTGGAGCTAAAGCCTGCATCTGGGCCTTGGGGAAGCTGTGTCTCCAGGGGCATCCTGTATCTCCAGGGTGGATACAGTTTAATTCATTTCTTTGTGAGAACAACAGAGTTCTAAATCACCTCCAGCAATACTTGAGACAGTAATTATTCAATTATTCTATGCACCCCCCGTGCATCATTGACTAATGATTCCAAGAACCACAAACACATTTCTCTCTGCAAACAGCTCCATTTGACATGAGGGTGGTTGATTTAATGCATGTTAAAGGTGGGCCTGTGTCAGTCACCATGTTCTTGGGGACAGTCCCTCATACCCCTTCATGCAGTTTTCTAGATCCATCCAGAGTCTGAACTCCAGTGGGGTTTGTTTTTRTTGTCATTCTTTGACTACATGAAAAATTAAGTGCAAGATTTTTTTTCATATACATTGTAAAATATGAGTGTGACCTTGGTAGAAATGACCAGCTCAAAGAGATATTTTTGTTCTGGAAAGCAGGGAACTACATCTCCCACAGTTCTTCCCTGGTATTTTTAGCTGAGGCTGCTTATAGAAGGTGAAGAAGGGCATTAACCTTACCATCTTGAAACTTCCTGTCTGGGCAAATCACCATGACCTTCTAACACTCACACTGCCCAAGTCATCCTACTTAAGCCTCTGTGGCATACTGTGTACACCGGGCCATTCCTGAGGTAGCCCTGCAGATTTCCTGGACTTTCCTCCCCACCCTTATACATGTGCATGCCCACATATGTGCATGAATACATATGTATACATGCATATCGTTGTGCACATATACACATATATACATATACAGTTGGTTCTAGAGTTTTGTGCCTTGGAAAGCTCCTCTCCTGTATTTTACTTTCTTAACCCCTAATTCCAGCCTTGGGGTCACCTTCTTGACCACTTTCTGACATTACACTCTCCAACCTCAGGCTGTGTAAGGCACCTTCCTCTGCGTTCCCAGAATGCACTCATGGTGTTCTGGGAGACACCCATTAGACTAACTTGAAGGCATGTTTTGTTTCACTTTGTGCCTATCAGCGGGTAGAGCACATGCTAACACATATGCTTAATGTATGTCTCCTAAATGACAGAACAAATGGATAAGCGAATTACGAGTGGTGTGCTTATATCGGATGAAATAGCATCTTTCTTAGCCTTGCTGGTGCCAATGGGTCAGTTTCTCAATCTACAGTCTTCAGATAGTTTCATCAGAATCTTCTGGAAAACCTATGAAAATGTGATTTCTAGGGTCTATTGAGTTGAAACTACTGTGGATATAGCCTGGCAATATGAATTTTATCAAGCTGACCCAGTGATTCACATACATGCTAACTTTTTGAATAAAAGCTCAAGACCCTCAAGTCCAGGTTTGCAACATTCAGAAATACCCTGCTAGAAACCCACTCCAATTTTAATCAATTGCTAATGAGCAGATTCTTAGTGAATGTGGATTATGGTAGACATTGTGCTTTCAACAGTCTTCAAGACTTGTAATGGGTTTCACATTACACTGGGACAACAAAAAAGATCAAAGCCATTGCTATTTCCACATGCTCTCCCAGCCTGCAGAGAAAGGTGRGCAACTGAGCTGTTTGCAGGTTCCCTTGTGGAAGTGGCACAAGCAGGCAGGCAGGGGGCATCCCTGCTCCTTGTCTCAATCTGCAAAGATGTACTTAGATAAAGAGATCCATTCACTGCATTTCTTTTCATGTTTGCTAAATTGATATACACTATATGAATAGTATCCTGTTATTGTCTTAATATGCATTTTTAAATGATTAGTATGACTAAATACTCCAGCTGAATGAGATCAAGGTAGGAAAAGTAGAGACCAGAGATTATGGGGAGCCAACACAAATGTARTTTTTTTAAGTATTTATTTTCTATTATAGGTGGACATGATAMCTTTGTTTTATTTTTATGTGGTGATGAGGATCGAACCCAGTGCCTCATGCATGCTAGGCGAGTGCTTTACCTCTGAGCCACAACCCCAGCCCCCACAAATGTAATTTTTATAGTCTATTCCCTTTTTTAATACTTAGCTTTTGTCTCAATACTCTATGTTTTGTTCAACACATGAGTATACATTTGGCCCTCCAGATCTTTAGGTTCGGCATTCATGCAAGTGCTAAACAAAACTATTTTTA